ATGAACATAGATGCAAAAATCCTCAACAAAATTCTAGCCAATCGAATCCAACAACATCAGAAAGATTCTTCACCTGGACCAAGAGGGATTTATCCCTGGTATGCAGGGATAGTTCAACATCCATAAATCAATCAATGTGATACATCACATTAAGAAATTGAAGAACAAAACCATATGATTATCTCAATAGTTGCAGAGAAAGCATTTTATAAAATACAACACTCATTCATGATGAAAACTCTAAGCAAATTGGGTGTAGAAGAAACATTCCTCAACATAATCAAGGATATTTATGACAAACCCACATCCAGCATCCTATTGAATGGGGAAAAATTGGAATCATTCCCACTGAGATCCAAACCAGACAAGGATGCCCACTCTACCATTGCTATTCAATACAGTCCCAGAAATTTTAGCCAGAGCCATTAGGAAAGAAAAAGAAATCAAAGGGATACAAAATGGATAAGAGGAAGTCAAATTATCCCTATTTGCAGATGACATTATTCTATATATATGGGATCCAAAAGACTCTACTAACAGACTATAGGAACTCATAGAAGAGTTTGGTAAATTAGCAGGAGATAAACTCAATACACAAAAATCAACAGCCTTTATATACACAGACAATGCCATGGCTGAGAAAGATCAATCCCATTCACAATAGCTACAAAAAACCAAATACCTTGGAATAAATTTAACCAAGGATGTCAAAGATCTCTGCGATGAGAATTAGAAAACATTAAAGAATGAAATAGAAGAAGACACAAAGAAATGGAAAAATCTTCAGTCTTCATGCATTGATTGGAAGAATCAATATCATCAAAATTTCCATTCTTCCAAAAGCAATTTACAAATTCAATGTGATACCAATCAAAATACCAAAGACAATTCTCAGATGGAGAAAAATGATGCTGAAATTCATATGGAAACACAAGAGACCTAGAATATCTAAAGCAATCTTATACAACAAAAACAAAGCTGGAGGACTCACAATGCCAGATTTCAAGACATACTACAAGACACTTGTAATCAAAACAGCCTGGTACTGGTTAAAAACAGATGGATAGGCCAAAGGAACAGAATAGAAACACCAGAAATCAATCCAAGCATCTGGAACCAAGCTGTATTTGACCAAGGAGCTAAAGCCAATCCCTGGAGCAAGGACAATGTCTTCAACAAACGGTGCTGGAAAATCTGGTTCTCCACATACAGAAGTATGGATCAGGGACCCCTATCTTCCACATCACACAAAATCCATTCAAAATGGATTAAAGACCTAAATCTATGACCCAATACCATCAAATTATTAGAGAACATTGGGGAAACCTTGCAAAACATTGGCCCATGCAAAGAATTCTTGGAAAAGACCCCAGAGGCACAGGCAATCGAAGCCAAAATTAACAAATGAGATTACATCAAATTGAAAAGTGAACAGCAGAAGTCTTTGCCTTCTTTAGTTTCATGTCCCTAGCTAGGGGTGAGGAGGAAGACGGATGATAAAATCAATATGTAACGTATGTGGGTGAGTTGGAAAATGCAAATACTAAGGGGAAAATGAATCAGGGAAAGGGGAAAGTCCACATCAGGGCCTAGGGATTTGTATGTCCTGAATGTACCGAGAGACACTCACTGAGATAGGGACATTTATCTTTGGGAAGAAGTAGAGATGAAAGGAAGCATCCGAGCCTGGGAACACACAGATGTCCACCCTTTGTAATCTCTGAGGAGAAGGAGCAGGGTAGCTGACAGAATGACACAACTGACAAGAAAGGGCAAGGAGCTCTCTGAGGAAATGGGGTGAGGGCAGTGGGGCAGTGGAAGACAATGGAGCAGCTATTCCAATTACAGAGCTTTAGTGGGAGGAGTGGATACAAGCAGCCTGCAGAAGTTTTCCACCGTGGTGGGCTGTGACCTCCCCCTTCTGTGATCCCAAAAGCACTCCAGTAAAACCTCTTGAAAGTAAAATTTGCTCCTTCTGATTGAATTTTATCATTATACTGAGAAGATTCTATGATGAAGGCAAAACAGGTTTGTTTGTTTCCTGTTTTGGGGGATGTATTTGTTTTAGGTTTTATGCCTTTAGGTTCCTAAAGTACAGTTCCCAGCTCCATCTTAAAACCATTTCACATCATCTCAAATTAGCCTATCTACACTCAATAAATGGGAAATTCTGTTCTGCAACTACTTGGTTTCTCTCTTTCTCAAGTGCCTGAAACACTCTGGTCACTGTGTAAGAAGAAAACATTTGATGCAAACTCAAAGTAAGATGCTTACAACTAGCTACCATAATGCTAGGTTACATGCACCTGAATGTTCTAAGGCAAACAGAATACTAGTGGCCAAAACAACTGAAGCCAATCGCAAGAAGACTATAACCCCAGAATATTCCGTCACTGAGGAACTGGGGAAGGGACCTGCATGCTAAGAAATTTCTATAAACTACCCCAGGTGTGCTGGCCCATCAGGCACCTGCTCTTGCAAGATCATTAATAAAGTCTTGCTTTTGCTGCACGTCCTGAGTCTGAGTCCAATAGATTACCAGATAATGAGCTTCAACTAAGGAATGGAAAGCTACAAAACTAGCTCTCATAATTGCAACAAAAGGATTTCACATCAAAATAGCGTCACTACTGTGGGTTCTGACTGCTCTGCTAGACACTTCAAGCCCGCTTTTTTCCTTGAAGTTTTATATTTTAATTTAAACATAGAATTTAATAATGCATTCATTTTCAGTTAATTTTTGTTCGTGATATACCACAATGTTCAACATTTGTTGAGCACATTATCTTTTCTCTACTGGATCACCTTGCATCTTTGTCTAAAATCAGTTGTCCACATATGTGTGGTTCTAGTTTTGACTACTATCTCCTACTTCATTGATGGCATACTACCCTGTTTTGATTCCTGTAGCTTTAAAATAAGTTAAAATTTTATAGTGTCATCTGCCAAATTTATTTTTTTCAAAGTTGTCTCAGCTACACTTAAACATTTGCATTTTCATATGAACTTTAGAAATCAGTCACCAATTTATACAATGAAGCAAAATCAGCCTATTTGTATTATACTAGGATTGTGTTAAATTTATAGATACATATGGAGAGAATTGACATCTTAACAATCTTTAGTCTCTTCTCTTGGACATGGTATAGCCATGTCCAAGATTTTTACATCTTCTAGAATTTTGGAAATGTTTTATAGTTTTCATCATATATGTCTTTTGTCAGATTCATGCTTTAGTATTCATATTTGTATGCTATTACAGATGACATAATTTTTATTTTAATTTCTTATTAGCAGTTTTTATTGTATATAAATTCAATTTATTTTATATCGATTTATCTTGAAATGTTGCTAATCGGTATAAATATATGCTGTTATGTTATTGTTACATGTTTTTGTTCGGTTCCTACATAGAGATCATATCCTCTGCCAATAAAAAGTTATTCTTTTGAATTGGAGTGCTTTTATTCCTTTCCTTGCCATATTTTATTGGTTAGAACCTCCAGTGCAATCATGAATTAAAATGCTAGACAGTCTTGTGTTAGCCCTCACCTCAGAGGGGACATTTCCTGTCTTTCACTATTAAGTAGAATGATAGCTGTGGGTTTTGTAGATACCTTTTCTCATTTGAGGAAGTTTCCGTTTTTCTTTTACCTTGTCTTTCAGGGATCATGGTCTTTCATTACCGAATGTCCAACATCTTGAAAATGTAAGTCTTGTCCTTCAAAGTGCCAGGCAGAAGAGAAAATCTGTGGTCCTCATTAATCCATCTCAATCCAAAGTGGAAGTTAAAACTGCTTTTCAAAAATGAGCAAACCAACATGAAACTCAATGTGGTTTTGATAATTATGGCTATCTTTGGGGTCGTAGAAGTCTAAGACAGCACTGCTGGTTGACGTGGTAGTGAGTGACCTGCGGCATTCTGCTGATGCATCATGGTGCTCTTCTCTGTCACTTGCTATCTGTATGATCTTGGAACTGACTCAACCTCCATGATTTAGGGGTCTACTCTTTAAAAAGAGAGGTGTTCATAAGAAGTAAAATTATTACCACAAATCATCTAAAATTCATAACTGCGTGCCTGGAAACAAAGATGTTAATTATGAGTCAGATATTGAAACTTAGTCAATTTTTTAGTTATTGTCAATTGTTAGTCAATTAATGACTCTGATCTTTAGTTTTCTAGGTTTTCATATATGTGTGTGTATTATGTGTGTGTGTGTATATATATATATGTGTGTGTGTATGTCTATAAATCTACAAAAGATGTGTGGATATATTTATCTATCTTATCTATATATCTACTTATCTATCTATTTATCTAGCTAGCTAGCTAGCTACCTATCAGTCTGAGTTACCTTTAGAGCTATGGCACTAAAGATTTGCAGGTGTTTCCAAACACAAAGAGAAATGCCTTCATTAGACAGGCAGTCAACAGCACAATTCGAGGGTGGATAGTTCACTAAGATGCTCTCCTATTATTCCTTTATAAATTAAAGAGGTCATGATTTATTATAACACTAGAAATATTCCCCTGTAATGAAGAACTTGGCTTGCGTTGACTTCTGTCATTTAAATGACAGGTCAAAACCTTTCCACTCTAGCTAATGGCTACAGATTCCGCCAACCCAGGGATTTTCTAGGAGGATAATGATGAGGTACTGGACTTCGTCTGCCCGAGGCACTGCCTGGAGGTTTTAACTGCCAGGCCATCGTTTAATAACTGGGACAGCAGGGGTATATCAGTTATTTTTAGCCTGCCATCTTGACTCATTTTAAGCCTTTTAATCAGGAGAGGCTTCCCTAAGTGTTATGGCATTCTAAATACATAAGAAGAAAGGCGGGAGTAGGGCTGTCTGGAGATCAGTAGACGTGCTATTCCCAGCAGAGAGGTGAACTCTGACCTACATGAGGGCAACAAATAATTAGAACTCACAGATTTCAAAGAGAGAAAAGTTAAGTGCCAGATAAGTGCTGTTCAAATTTCCCATTTTTTGCAGGTTTTAATGAGGGGCTAAAATGAAAAGGACAATGCAAAATGTCTGCAGGTGGATGTCAAGATTGTCAGCGCTGGCTTCTATCTCTGCATCTTTCTGGATTAATCCTTTTATACATCACACGTCTCTTGGATGGAATGAGATGGGGCTGAGTGTCCCTGGCAGGTAAAGCCCTGTTTTCTACACAGAATACAGAATACAGAGTGGGATGTAATGTGTCTTCCACCCAAGGGAACATATTCTAGAAACGTACACATATGAAACAATGACAGGAGGAGCCCTCCTCTGTCATTTATTCCTCTGCTTACTCACTAATTCATTCAGATATTTGGTGAATGTTTACCCTGTACAGTGCACTAGCATGCACATATCAATGAAGTATCATCCCAGCTTTCAGGATGCTCACAGACAGGGAAGAACAGTGTGTGAACAAATGATTCCAGTGCAGTGCAGAGAGCAGAAAGCACAGGGGTGGGAGGTGAACAGAACAGGTACCTGACCCAGCCCGTACCTGAGCTGCTTCCCAGAGGAAGCAAGCTCCAATGTGCAGCTCCCACTGGAGACAGCTGAAGAAAAAGACTGTCCCAGAGAGAGAAAGTAGTATGCCAGAAAGCACTTTGACCAAACTTCCAAAAAGTTTGGTCAATTGCAGGGGCATAGGATGGAAGATGATTTTTTTTTCCTACCAAGGTTCACGACAGTGAGGAGTTAATGTAAATAAATCAATTTGACATCATCTATTTCATTGTTGGTGGCCTCCATGGACCTAATCTCTAGTAATTTACCACATAACTTACCTCTTCCTTAGTTTCCTTATGGTAAGCATTGCTCAAGCATTCCTTCGGAATCACAGGTTTACATAATTGGACTTATTGAATGCTAAAAGTTTCATTAATTCTTCCATTTACATCCTAAATCTGGAACTGTCCTAGACATATAATACAAAGTTTACTTGGAACGATCTTTTCATATTCTTTAAAAAGGGTCATGAATAAGCCAAACCTTAGATAGTGAAATAAATACAACAGAAGTATGTTAACATTATGAAAATTATTCAAATGAAGGAGGAAAGGTTAAGAGGAGATATTTAAGCTGATTTTCAAGCTAACCGTAAGAATAAAGAAACCCCTTATAAAATACTCCATAGGCCTAGAGGCAGGCATTTAGAAAGGTATGAAATAGTTGGCCCAACAAGGTCATTGAATGAGAAGAAACAGAGGAAAAACGAGAGTTGCAGGCAGTAGCCAAACTATGGAAAATTTGCATAACATGAAAAGCTGTGTACCTTTTACTCTAGGTTTTACAATAACAGTGGGAGGCTAGGTTTGAATCAGATATGGAACTGGAAAGAATATGCACAATAGTCCATGTCAGATATGCTCAAGTTCTGGTTCAAGGAAATAGGATAAAGAACTCAGCAGGTGGCAGACTCAAAGGAAATTTAGTGACTGGGGCTACAAAAGCCTTCAGACCAATTGTCTGTGAGGACAGAGCCAAAGATGATTTCTAAGTTTCTAACTTCAGAGCCAAAGTGCTGCCTCATAATCACATCTTATTCCCTCACCTGTCCTCAATGAGAACAGCGAGATGCAGAGATGTTAACTGCATTTCCTAATATTGTAGCCTTTTTGGGATTCAATCTAGATCTTGCTGACAATACATGCTCTCTCTTGGGTGCCTGGGGAGACTGTGAGGTTCTAGATTTAGTAGGAACGGCAACCAGAAAATAATCCTAAATTGAAAAACTCTTCAGATATAGGGCAAGATAAGCCTCACAAAAAGTGGAATGGGGAGGCAAGAGGCACCTGGAGCTCATTTGAGTTCTGAGTTACCTCCTGGTGGTCCAAGGCATAGTTCCTATTTTGAGCTTCCTCGTCCTGAGCTGCTCATTGCAGAGTTAACCAATGTAACTTAGAAAACTAAATATAATTAGAAGTGACTCACACTAACTATGACTTCATTGAAAACATGGAGTAATGAGAGTAGCAACAACTTTTTCCTGCCACATAAACTTTCCTCCTACATTCTCCCACCCCTCTCCTGGCCAGGTAGCTTTAACCCATGAAGGAAACCTATTGCTCATCTAAATGTCATTGGAGAACTCTTTTCAAATAAGAAAATGAAATAAGGGGAAACTGTAAGTTATAAATGAAAACTCTTTAAAGTTCACACATACTTCTAGGTAGCAAAATGAAGTCATTAATCCATGAGGACTTCATACATTTATCTCTCTTCTATTCTCATCGTATAAATACAAATTTCCTGTTACATTCCCAATACATTTGTTGGAAGAGGGGGGTGAGAGATGAATTAAATGAACACCCACTCGATAATTCCTGACCTTTCCTTTAGCATGACAGTTTTATCAGTCAAGCAGAGAGATAATATGATGAGGATAAAAAGCTAATATTCTCTCCTGGTGAAAAAGAATCAATGACACTTTCACCCACAGTTTTATTGAAAAATGGATGATAATGGCTCAAGCACACCTACCAGAGTGAGCTGCTTGAAGCTACATTTAGCAAACTTCTAAGAAGATGAAATATAGCTGAAATTGTAGGGAGGCCCACAAAGGAGGTGAAAGAATATTTCTTAAAATGAATGCAATAACCCATTTTCCTCCAGCCTATCGAGTAGCAATGAAGTGCCATTTATGGAAAGGGAGAATGAAAGCCGTAAATTGTTTGAGCTCAGTGCATTTCACGCTGAATATTCTTGTTTGGTGATCCTAACAGTGTTAGCCCTTGGGGAAGCTGGCTCTAACTTCTGGGTACAGCTACTAGACTAGGGAGAGGAAACAAACTTAGACATCAGAGCTTTTAAAAAATATTCGCATGTGAAAAGGATATTCCCTGGCCCAGAAGAAAGATTCAAGGACACTCTGTCTCATTCAGGGTACCTGATCAATCTGCTTCCTAGTGGTGTGAATTTTATTGATCAGAACACAAAATATTGATGTGACCACATTCTTGGGTGAGTTATGTATAAAATGATAGGTGAGCATTCCCTGGATACTGAGAAATGTGCTAGTCTTTTCAATGCGGAACATATGAGGTTGTACTGAGTTCTGGAGAGGGAGCCGTAATTTGCAGCTTCCTGTCTATACTGCTATAGGTTACTGGAGCTCTGCATTGGAGTTTGGGTTTAAAGACTGGGAAACATTAAAAATTCAGTCTTAGAGACATGGCTGGAAGATTCAGATAGTCTCACCTTATCATTTCCAAAGCATATCTGTTCTCATTTCCCAACACACTGCAAGTCTAGTTTGGCCTACCAAACTGCCCTTCCCACTTCAGTTTTTTATCAAAAAGTAGGAGCCCCGACCTTTCATGGCCAATTCATGCTCATCAATGAGGGATATCTGAAAAGAAGGCTCAAAGAAAAGCAAAGAGCTTCTAAGAATCCCTAGACTTATAGAAATGTGCATTTGTTATACTACGGTCAGGACTGGCTACATGATTTTCAGGGGTCAGTGCAGAATGAAAAGGCAGGGATGTGTGTTCAAAAACAATTCAGACGTTCAAGATGGTAACACAGAGGATTAAACCACATGTGGACTCCTTGACACAGGATTCTGTGTAACTGCATAGGTCACATGTCCGTGAATACAGCTCAAGAACTCCCGTGGTTTTTACCTTTACCCAGTCTCCTCTACAGGATGTGGGGTCAGGAAATGGAAGAGCTCTTGCTTACATCTCACAGACAGGTTCCTGTCCATGACAACCAAAGCCGATTTCAGTGCTTAATCTGGACGGAAGCTATTTTGGGGAGTGGAAAATATTGTGCCAGAAAAATCTAACATTTTCATTAAAATAATTCCCACATCCTCTTCCATGTTTCCATGTGTTAACTTGAGGCCAGTGAGATACATGCTACAAGTCTTCAATGATTTCATTATTATCTCTAGGATTGCTGACTCCGAACACTTATGCAATGAATGAGGAAAAACAGAAAGAAAGAAAGTTGGAAGGACATGGAGGAAGGTATCATTATATTCTCAGAATTGTACCTATGAACTACACTGAATGTGTTCTCTTGGTATTACTATCACATTAACATGAGAATTGATGAGGATATTGTTCTAAGTATTACACAGTTTCTGTGACCCTGAGAATCTAATGTATTAATACATTGTATAGTAAATTAAAATAAAATAAACTACAATTTTTTTCAAAGAAGTACATTGAATGTGTGCATTTTCTGGAAGGAGTTCTTCTATTAGTATTTCTCATGTTGAGACTTTACATCTATAACATGATCCAGATCTCTGTGTACTTACCAGTGTGTCATATTTTCAGGAAAGTTGTACAAGGACCTTTGTCCTAAGCTCACTGGGCAAAGTTTTATGTATATAGTGTATTCTTTCCTGTTATTGTAAAAGGGATGATTTTCCTTAGTAATATCTACCTTGGAATGTGAACATTACTTGCAGTATTTTATATGTAACCATTTTATCACTGCTGTTGAACATTAGAATTTCTTGTATTGCCTTGTTTATTTGAATTTGCATTACCAAGAAAATTCTGAGTAGCAATTTATCTATCTATTTATTTATTTATTTATTGACAGGCAGAGTGGACAGTGAGAGAGAGAAACAGAGAGAAAGGTCTTCCTTTTGCTGTTGGTTAACCCCCTAAGTGGCCGCTGCGGCCAGCACACCGCACTGATCCGAAGGCAGGAGCCAGGTGCTTCTCCTGGTCGCCCATGGGGTGCAGGGCCCAAGCACTTGGGCCATCCTCCACTGCACTCCTGGGCCACAGCAGAGAGCTGGCCTGGAAGAGGGACAACTGGGACAGAATCTGGTTCCCCGACCGGGACTAGAACCCGGTGTGCCGGCGCCGCAAGGTGGAGGAATAGCTTAGTGAGCCACCGCACCGGCCCTGAGTAGCAATTTAAATGTGTCTTGTGGTTCATGGATCTCAGTTGATGATGAATAGAGATACCTATAAAAAATAATGTGCAGGGAGAGGGAGTAGATACAGAGGGGGAGAATGGAAACAAACCAAAAACGTCTGTATGGGGGTGGGCACTGTGAACCCAGTAGATTAAACAGTCACTTGGAACTCCCATATTGGAGTGCCTGGATCAAATCTGAATCTGTTTGCAACTCAGTTTCCTGCTAACACCCTCAGACACACTGCAGATGATTGGTGATTAGTTGGGTTCCTACCACAAGTGTGGGTGACACAGATGGAGTTCCTCGCTGCCCAGCCTTGACTGTTGCTGGCGTCCAGGAAGTAAGCCAGTGGGTGTAAATGTCTTTCTCTGTTGCTTTCTTTCAAATAAAAAAAATTCCCATATGACTCCAAAACAGCCTGAAAACTAAAATCCCAAACATATTAAAAATAGGAGAAAAAAGAACAAAACCATTAATTTAAACATAAATTCATCTTGTATAGGATCTTTATTTATAATATCTGAAAAAGGCTCTAATCAAAAAAAATAAATCTTGAGAAATTAAAGGAAAGTGAAGAAATGGCTTCCCATAGGAGGTAAACGGTAAACAGGTGCAGGTGAAAGAACTAACACAAAAGTCAGGTGTGACATAGGCCATTACAGAAAGCGTAGAAATCCTAACACCAACAATGTCTTTCCAGGAAAACCAATAAAGATACATCAGAGTTGAAACCCAGCATTAAGCAAATGGACCAAACAGACATTTACAGTACATTTCACCCAACAGCTACAGAATACACATTCTTCGCATCAACACATGGCACATTTTCTAGGCTAGACCATGTATTAGTCCACAACTCAAGTATCAGTAAATTTAAAATGATACAAATCATATCAGTATCTTCTCAGACACTAAAAAATAAAAATAGAAATCAACAAGAAAAAGAACAATAGAACATTCAAAACTACTTGGAAATTATAAAACATGTTACTGAATGATCAATGGGTCATTGAAGAATTAACGGCATAACTAGTACTTGAATAGTACTTTATACTTTGTGTTTCTGTGTGGGTGCAAACTGTTGAAATCTTTACTTAGTATATACTAAATTGATCTTCTGTATATAAAGATAATTGAAAATTTATCTTGATGTGAATGGGATGGAAGAGGGAGTGGGAGATGGGATGGTTGCAGGTGGGAGGGAAGTTATGGGGGGGGAGCCACTATAATCCAAAAGTTGTACTTTTGAAATTTATATTTATTAAATAAAAGTTAAAAAAGGCAATCAGAAGGTTTCTTGAAATAAACGAAAATGAAAACACAATATATCAAAACCTGTGGGACATAGCAAAAGCAGTCTAAGAAGAAAGTTTATAGCATAAACTGGTTACATTAAAAAAAGAAAAATGTCTCAAAGAACTGACTATTCATTACAACGACTTAGAAAAACAAGAACAAGCTAAATCACAAATCAGCAGGATAAGAGAAATAATAAGAATCAGAGCAGAAATAAGTGAATTTGAAACTAAAAGTGAGTACAAATAATCAACAAAGCAGTTTGTTTTTTGAGAAAATAAATAAAATTGATAAATCTGTAGCCAGAATAATAAAAAATGGAGAAAACACTCATATAAATAGAATTAGAGAGGAAAAAGCAGACATTACAACTAACATAACTGAAATACAAAGGATCACAAGAAACTACAGTGAAGAACTACATAATGATAAACTGAAAAACCTCAAAGAAATGGGTAAAGTCTTGAAAACATATAACCTATCAAGATTAATTCAAGAGGGTATAGACAATCTAAACAGACCCGCAACAAGCAATGAGATTAAAGTGGTAATCAAAAGTCTCCCATCAGGAGAGAATTTCCACTTTGCTTATGGCCATGTCTAAATACTGACGGAATTTGTGATCACAAAAGGCTTCAGTAGCCTTGGCAGCTCATTGCAAGAGCCTCGAGTGATTACTGAGGTCATAAATAAGAGTGCTAATTGTTAAATCAACAACAGAAGTCACTGTGCACTTACTCCCCACGTAGGACATCTGTCCTTAATGAGCTGTACTATGAGAATTAACTGCAAAACTTGTTCTCAAACAGTGCTTTTTACATTGTGTGTGTGTATGTGTGCAAACTGTTGAAATCTTTACTAAGTATACAGTTGGTATTCTGTATATAAAATTAGTTAAAAATGGATCTTAAAGAAGAATGTGATGGAGAGGGAGTAGGAGGTGGGATGAGAGTTGGGAAGGGAAGGTGGATATGGGGAGGAAAACCACTATATTCCTAAAAGCTGTACCTATGAAAATTGTAATCATTTAGTAAAAGCTTTAAAAAAGTCTCCCATTAAGGAAATTCTACAAAACATTCAAACACAAAGTAACTCAATAGTCTTCAAACTATTCCAAAACATTGAACAGGATGGAACTCTGCCGAACTCTTTACAAGGCAGAACAGGGAACACTGAAACCATTTCCTCTCATCACTGTTATTCATTATATTACTGGAAATACTAGCAAGAGCAATTAGGGAGGAGAAAGAAATAAAGGATATCAAAATTGAAAAAGAGGAAGTCAAATTCTTCATGTTTGAAGATGACATAATATTGTACATGGACAATCCAAAACACTCCACCAAAAAGCAATTAGAATTGATGTCAATTCACTAAGTTTGCAGATTACAAAATAAATGTACAAAATAGTAGCTTTTATATGTTAATGATGAACTCACAGAAAGAGAAATCAAGAAAGAAATCTCATTTGCAATAACCACAAAAAATAAATGTCTAGGAATAAATTTAATTGAAGATGTGAAATATATCAAAAACAAACATTGATGAAAGAAATTATCAAGAACACAAAAAAAGAAAGATACTTCTTGCTCATGAATTGGAAAAATTAATATAATTAAAATGTCTACATTACCTAAGGCAATCTATAGATTCAATAAATCTCTATCAAAATACCAATGACATTCCTTACAGAATTAGAAAAAAAATCTGAAAATTCATATGAAATCACAAAAGACTCAGAATGGCAAATGCAATCCTGAGTGAGAAAAAACAGGCTGGAGGCATCATAATACCTCACTTCAGAGATAATACAAGATTATAGTAATTAAAACAGCATGGCACTACCATGAAAATTGACACATAATTCAGTGTAACAGAATAGAAAGCGAAGAAATTAACTGTATATGCACAGCGAACTGATTTTTGACAAAAGTACTCAACCCCACAGTGGAGTAAGGATAATCTCTTCAATAAATGATGCTGGTAAAACTGGATGTATAGATACATAACAATGAAATTAGATCCTTATCTTCACCATATACAAAAATCAACTCAAGATGGATAAAAGACCTAAATTTGAGACCTGAGAAAATGAAGTTGCTGAAAGAAAATGTAAGGGAACACTCCAAGACATGGGTATAATGGATGACTTCTTGGACGGGACACTCAAAGCACAGGAAGCAAAAGGAAAACTAAACTAATGGCATTATGTCAAACTGAGAAGCTTCTGCACAGCAAAAGAAATGATCACCAGAGTGAAGAGACATCTAACAGAATGGGAAAAAGTACTTGCAAACTATTTTTAGGACAAAGGATTGAGATCCACAGTATAATAGTAACTTAAAAATTCAACCAAATAAAAGCCACTTGAGAAATGGACAAAGGGCATCAAGAGGCAGATCTCAAAATAAGAAATACAAACGGCCAAACAAATACATGAAAAATTACTATCTTCCACGCTCACGGATTGGAAGAATCAACATCATCAAAATGTCCATTCTCCCAAAAGCAATTTATAGATTCAATGTGATAGAATTAAAATAGCAAAGACATTCTTCTCATATCTGGAAAAAATGATGCCTAAATTCATATGGAAGCAGAGGAGACCTCGAATAGCTAAAGCAATCTTGTACAACAAAAACAAAGCCGGAGGCATCACAAAACCAGATTTCAGGACATACTACAGGGCAGTTCTAATCAAAACAGCATGGTGCTAGTACAGAAACAGATGGATAGGCCAATGGAACAGAGCAGAAACACCAGAAATCAATCCAAACATCTAGAGTCAACTTATATTTTATCAAGGATCTAAAACCAATTCCTGGAGCAAGCACAGTCTATTCAACAAATGGTGTTGGGAAAACTGGATCTCCACATGCAGAAGCATGAAGCAAGACCCTATCTTTTTTTTTTTTTTTTTGACAGGCAGA